ATGGGGAATTATTTTGCATTAGAGAACAGATGGTAAGTAATTTCCCCAAGATTTTCGGTTCTGTGCATACAGAGATGGGTATTGACAGCTCATTGTCACATCACAAAGTCCTGTCACCAGAAGGCAGACTGAGCTCTGCAGCACAAACTGAAAAGCATCGAAGGGAGTTGGAAGGAACACAAAGGATTCTGCTATATGGAGAATAAGCATTTAGGAATCCATTTAATACATTTGCACCTAAAAGTCTTCCAGTCTTTGAACTGACACAAAAATGTTGCTATTATTTACATTTGTAACAATTGTACTATTTGAATTTTTTCTTAACTTTTTTTCTCTTCTAACCTGTTACACATTTTTGCTATGATTAATCATTATTATATTAGTCACTTTTTGACCCAGATTTTATTACAAATGTGATCTTTACTGGGTACATTTATTCAATGACTTGAACATATTGTACATGTGTATTTCTATGTACTCTGGTATTGACCTGTACTCTGTATAGCCAATTGCTTGCAGACTAATAACGAAACAGTTATTGTAATCTTGTAATTAAATTGTACAAGATTACAAGATTAATTGTAATCTTGTAATTAAAAGATTTCCTTAGTTATGCTCATAGATGGTTGTTGTTTGGGTTGGGTTGGTTTTTTCCTGGACTAGTGTTAAGTCACTAAACACCTTACAAATTTTTCTAGGTAATGTGGAAAGCTTATGAATTTTCACCATTCCTTCAAGGAGAAAGCACAGTCCTTTGCATGAATTACTTTACAGTAGTAATATGTGTTTATCTTGCCATTTTAGGTGCTTTGGGAGATATCAGGAGATTTTAACTAAAAAACAAACCTTCATTTTCAATTAAAATAAGATTCTGACTACCTTATATGTATTTTATTTATATTTAATCTCCTTTGGGTAGGAACTCTATAATAAATTTCACCTTCAAAGAAGAATCATAGAAGCATAGAATCAACTGGTTGGAAAAGACCTCAAAGATCATTCAGTCCAACCCTACTGTGGTTACCAGACCATGGCACTAAGTGCCACATCCAGTCTCAGCTTGAAAACCTCCAGGGATGGTGAATCCACCACCTCCCTGGGCAGCACATTCCAATGCCTGAGCACTCTCTCCCTAAAAAATCTCTTCCTAATATCCAACCTAACCCTCCCCTGGCAGAGCTTGAGTCTGTGCCCTCTTGTCCTGCTGCTGGTTGCCTGGGAGAAGAGACCAACCCCCACCTGACTCCAACCTCCTTTCAGAAAAGAGAAGAGCATTAGATTCATAACAGAGGCAGCTATGTAATTTTTCAGTCTCCTCCAGACAAGGTCAGTTGAGTTTAATTGTAATTGTGCAGGTGAACAGTACCCAGCAAGAGTTCCATAAAACTTAAAGTTCATACTCCTGTAAAGGACCTGGTAGTATATCCACAAAAGGCAACACGTTGCAATGTGAAGTCCCTTGTTAGGTTACAAATGCCTTATGTTCACATCATTTCTAACTAGAAAAATGCTATTTTTACACCAGTATTTGAGAAAGTAGGTTTTGGGATGGTTTTTTTTTTTCCTTAAAAACAAATTTAAAAAAACCCCAAAAGCAACCAACAGAACGTATTTGAGAAAGTAGGTTTTGGGATGGGGTTTTTTTTTTCCTTAAAAACAAATTTTAAAAAACCCCAAAAGCAACCAACAGAAAAACAAAACAAAATCAAAACACAACACCCAAAAACCACCACACACAAACCTCCACTACTAAGTATGTACCAGAACTATGCTGACAGTCATGCAAAGAGCGTTAACTACTAAGTAATTACGTCCTTAAGATTGTAATTAAGTACATTTCCTTTATTCATGAACTTAGTGTTAGCCACATTTGCCTTGTGCAGGGTGTATTTAATCAGCTTTGCCTCCCTCCACGAGTGCAGGGATGAACAGAATAGCTCAAGTAATGTGATCACTCTAACAACCTAAAGATGAGATTCATCCCAGCTCACTTTGGATGTCTGCAGTAAGTTTAGTTTATCCTCAGGAGAAAGAAACAGGCTTTTCTAGAAGTTTCTGCATCTTATCCTGAAACAAGTGCTCAAAATAAAGCCTTGAAGTGCCAACTTCTCTTCATAAAGAGTCTAAACATCCATCACAGGGGCCCAGCTTGGGATGACGAATGCAGAACAAGGCTCCATCATTTCCACTGCCATTTTCTAAATTCTGACACATGCAACATCAAAACATTGTGTTAACCTGACTTCAGTTTTGACCAGGTTCTCAATCTTTTGATGAAGATAATCCACCTTGCTTAAACATAGATAAAACTGAGACTTAACCCTTTCTATATGCTTCGCTACTGAAAGATTCTGTCATGGACTCACTCGGTGAACCAAACTAACTCCTGTCTAGGGTGACATCTGAAATACTTTGAATAAAATAATAAGATCTGTTATACTTTTAAAGCACTAAAATATTGGTACTCTTTCATAGGCACATAGATGTTTTAACCTATGACCACGTACAAAGAACACATCAAATGACCAATGTAATTTTTCTTCCTTTCATGTATTCATTAGGATTTTTTGTTAAAGTGCAGGATAGCCTTGTATCTAGGTAGTTAGTCAACTCCATAGTAAATAAATTACTAAATATTAAAGAACCAAACCAACAACAGTGACTTTCAGAATTGCATTACCTGCTTTAATGTCCTCATCGGGCAGTATTTCACGTTTCCCAGTGAAACCATGCTTGTCATTAAAAGATCTGTGGTTATCTACTGCATCTGATAAACAAATTATAAACCAGAAGAGTTAATGGACTTAACAACCACGTCTACTGTATTATTTGCTTTGCATGGATTTCAATGAAAAGGTCATGTGGAGAGTTTTGATGTACGAAACAGCTAAGAAGCAATTAATGTGTCATTAAATAAAAACCTTTCTTCTAACTTTGTGCTAATGATTTATCCCATGTACAGTCCCAGTTCTGTACTATTTGCCAAAGCTGGTGCTGAGTTTTTAAGGAGTTACAAAGAAAATGCAAGTCTGTGTATTTGCATGTAAACTGGGAAGTTGTTTTTACTACTCTTTCCTCTGTCTTTAAGAAAACGTTGCTGATGAGTTTGCTTAAAAGAAAACTGCAGATAGTTTACATTTATAACCTTCAGAAACTATCTTACATGCCCCTGGTGCCTCTTCTCTCCCCCTTGCCATGGGCATTTCCTTTATCAAAAGCTGATCAATACGACCTGCAACAAAGGATGATTCCTATTATCCAGTCTTAGATAAATGGCACTTTGACAAATACATTTCCCCCAGGTATTTTTTTTCCAATATGCTTAGATCTGCTTGGGGCCAAATATATTTCCAGACATTTACAGAATCAGTTCATATGTTTAAGATGCATTAAGCCTTTTTTTTTTTTTTTAGGTATCCATAGGGTTAGCTAAAGAAAGTGGAGAGTGGCAGTAACTATCTGTAGTATTTGTCTATGTATTACTGAGACTGGAAATACAGAAACATTGTTGATGAGTATTATTACACTAACAAGAATTCATGGTGAAAGGACAAATATTTGAGACATTTTCACACTGCAATACTTTTCCTATAACTTACATTTGTTATTCTCCACCTTTGTAAACCAGTGTTCCCATATTTTGGTCATCTTGTACATTAAATACAGTGAACTGTTAATAAACAGTAATGAGTTTGCATGTTTTTGTTTGAACTTGTTTTTCTTTGATTGAAGGGAAAATATAATAAAGCCAAGTAACAAAACTGTTTTCAAGTAGATTTAAAGGTGAAATACACTCAGAAGTAACAAAATGACAGATTTTGTCATTCTTCCTTTGCCATCCAAGATGCTGTAAGATTTTGTAACTCTTGGTGAAATACACTCAGAAGTAACAAAATGTCAGATTTTGTCATTCTTCCCTTGCCATTCAAGATGCTGTAAGATTTTGTAATTCTTGGGGGGGAAGTAGTTGCCATATGAAAATTACAGTTCAGAAGCACAAAGAATGAGTAGATGTGTTTCTGGACATAACTCTTCTTCAAAAAAAGAAAAGCTGTTTATTAAGACAGCCCAATTCTCTAATAGGCAAGTTACAAATATCTAAACAAGTCTACAAGTCTTCTCCCAAATGAGTTTCTTCAGCCTGGTAGGGTTAGACAAACTGCTGTACTCAGAGAAGTGAATAGCACACTACAGTAAGCTGGTTTATAAGGGGAAAAAAAAAAACCAAACAAACAAAGCCACATCTTCTGTATTTTGAATCCATGCAAAAAACAAAGTGCTCAACTTACGTGGCCCAAGTAGGTAACCAGCACTATTCAAAGTCCAACCTCTTTTTTCTTTTGCCTTAAGGAAAGAAATGCAAGTATGTTATTGCATGACCTACACAGTGCTTACACTCAGATGGGCATTCTCTTAGCAGAAAATCTCTTCTGGAGGCTCAAAACCAAGAAAAACTGTAAATAAATAAAAGCCAGTTATATTGAAGTAAATGTTAACGGTGAACTCTCCCCATCTAAGTCTGTAGATTTGCTATAGACATCCATGTGTGTGAATATTTCACACCACATAAGTGAAACTGCAGATCACCCTCTGGAGGCAAAAATTTCACCTTTAGACTTCACATTTATATTGGCACCTGATCACCACCTTAAGAAACAGCAATGCTTTCTTTTAATTGCTTGGATTTACATGAGAGACTCTTTATAAAAAGAACAAAAAAAGAAAGCCCATATGTACACCATCTATTTTGAGTCAGATGGCACACCTGTTGAATTTTGGTTGATAAACTAGACACTCTTTTAGTCATAGGATTTGCTCCAAGGGAGCTAGTACTTAAAGTTTTCAAATTCTTAGCGAAGAAGTCCTGTTTATTGCCCCATTAAAGTTTTCAAATTCTTAGCGAAGAAATCGTGTTTATTGCCCCCAATATTTCTGAGCCCTGCACCTTTTGCAAACCCTCTAAATGCATTATACATCCCTGCAAGGCTTATTGCCACTTACCAGCCGAGACCTGGATACTTACTGAGAAAACCAGCCCGAACGTTTCCGAGAGGGTGGCACAGAGGATGAAAGAGAGGAGCAGGACACTAGCACACCTCTGCATCTGGAAAGAAACCGCAGCAGGGTGAAAGCTTTGCCTTCCCCGGGCGCAGGAGCCTGCTGAGCGCGGGTGGGAGTGGGACGGCACCGCATTCCCACCGGGAGAGAGCCGGGAGGGGAGTACCTTGAGCGGGGGCGCAGGGGCTGATCCTCCGCAGGGTTTTACTCGGTGCTGGCGAATGGTCCCGCGGCAGGAGTTCACTGCATGGCCGCGGGAGGGATGCGGGAGGGATGCTGGAAGGATGCTCGACGGATACTGGAGGGATGCTGGAAGGATGCTGGAAGGATGCTGGAGGGATGCTGGAGGGATGCTAGAAGGATGCTGGAGGGATGCGGGAGGGATGCGGGAGGGATGCTGGAGGGATGCTGGAAGGATGCTGGAAGGATACTGGAGGGATGTGGGAGGGATGCTCAAGGGATGCTCGAGGGATACTGGAGGGATGCTGGAAGGATGCTGGAGGGATGCTCGAGGGATGCTAGAGGGATGCTGGAAGGATGCTAGAGGGATGCTAGAGGGATGCTGGAGGG